CTCGAGGGCGTCCAAGATGGGTGTGAGGACTAGGGGTGTGTGGATATCATGGCGCTTCATGGTTCAATTCTTCTTCTTTCAACACGCTGCCTGCCTCCCCCGTCGTCCACGCACATGCCTGAGGCCATGGTGCGCCAAACCCCCTCTGGCTGGCCCCACTCCTCGGTGCACCCGAGGGCCCGATGACCCGCGTTCTGGCCGGGAGGTGGGAGGCGACTTTGCAAGATGGCGGCACGAGGTGGTCGCAGGAGCGACGCCAGGTCGGCTCCCTTGTCCCCTACCCCAATTCCTCCGGGATCCGTCCCCCTCCCTCCCCTAATCCCTCAACCCTCGCGGTTTCCCTGCCCCCTCCTCACGTCGCCCCCTCTCACACTCTTTTCTCTGCCCGCTCCTTGCTCTTCTCTCTGCCCGCTCCTTCTCCTTCTCCCTTCGACGTCGTCGTCGTCGCCGTCGTCATCGTCACAGTCCTGGTCATAGTCATAGGTCATAGTCATAGTCATTGTCATGGTCATTGGCATCGTCATCTTTCTCGTCGCCCTGTCACCCTGTCGCCCTGTCGCCCTGTCGCCGTCGCCGTCATACTAGTAATCGCTATCGTAACCGCAACCGCACTCGTAATCATCATCATAAGTATCAACATCCATCAGCATCATCATCAGCATCATCATCACCACCATCGTCATCATCATCAATATCATCACCATCACTAACATCATCATTATTATCATCATCATAAGCATCACCGTCACCATCCCTATCACCATCACCATCACCACCACCATCATCATCATCATCATCATCATCATCATCATCACCATCATCATCATCACCATCATCATCACCATCGTCGTTGTCATCATCAGCGTCAACATCATTACCATCATCATCACCACCATCGTCATCATCACTATCACTTGGCTCAAGGCAAATTCCAACGGGCAAGTCCGCGCCTCTCGCGCGCGCCCCTCCCGCGCCCCTGACGCGCAGGTCAGTGCTCGCGACCGCGGGTAAACCGAGGTATTTCCGGTTCCCGCCCTCGCGAGCACAGCCATGGCGGGGCGTTGCCGAGTTTGCGCGGCCCGTGGACCGCCCTGTTGGGCGGGGACGTCTGCGCGGCCCACCAGCAGTTCGGCTTGGTCGAGGGCGGCGCGGCGGCGGCAGCCCCAGTTGACTCAGCGGAGAACTCGAGAATGGGCGACGCAGAGTCGGGCCCAGCCAGCCCATTGCCGCCTTGCAGCTGGCTGGAGCTCCCGCTCCGCCTGGGATGGCGCCGCCTGCAGCTGCAGGAGCGCCAGGCGTGGCGCGGGCGGTCGCAGAACCGGGTCCGCTGGCGGCCGCGACAGCGCCGGTATCCACCTCGGACTTGGACCACTTGCACGCCTTCCTCGAGGACGAGCTCTCGGCCATTTCGGTGGTGACAGCGGCGGCAGCCTGCACTGGTCATCAACCTTCACCGCCAGCAGACGGTGAACGCACCTCACCTCTTGGACGGAGCTGTCGGCCGTGCTCCGGCGGCTGGCCTTTCAGTGTGACGCTCATGATCCTTGGCAGGCGCTGGGTCTATTCACTTTGGAGCGTCCCGCCCCGTCGGTGATGGACTTCGACCGCCGTCTGCATCGCGCCCGCACGTTGCTGCCCGTCACGGGCAAGGCCGGCTGGACGGAAGAGGACGCCGACGCCGCGCTCTAGGTGGAGTCACAGTTGGTCTGGGCGCATTCGCAGTGCGTTATTCGATTTACCGCGGTCGTGCCCCACGACCTCTGGAAGGAGTTGGGCGTCCCGGGCCTGGAGTTCATCATCAATACCCTGGCGTCCCTCCACGAGACGGTTATAACGCAGATTTCGGACGTAGTCGGCCTGACACCTGCTCTACACCAACACGGCCGGTTGCTCGACTTTGCCCCTGCTAAGGTACGGCAGGAAAGACTCGCGGCCTGTGATTTTGATGGGAGGCAGCTGCTGCAATGGTTTTCTCAGGGTGGCCTGGTTGCATGGGCGCCCTCCTCGACCTCGGCTCTGGGGCGGCTTCAGGCTGCTCTACTGAAGATCCCTGCGTCCATCTTCGAGAGCCGCCCCACCCGCCTGCTCGTACCAATGGCGGTGCTCCCAGGCTGTTCTACCATGACTGCTATCCGATACCTCTTTTGACACCCAGTTTTTGGAAAGAACTGAGCGCCTCTCATTCGAGAACGAGGTTTTGTTACCCAAGCCCTCCAGATGCTTGACACGGGGTCCAGCGGCCCGCAACACGTCTCCGAGGGCCTCTTCATCGCCGCCGTGTCGACGCACTTCCCACACCAACTGCCGAAGATGCTGTCGGTGGCGGGGCCGTTGGCGGAGGTCCGGATGGGCCATGTCCTCTACATGGATTGCCCCACTTCGCACGTCGCCATGGCTTTTGAACGAGTTCTGGCATTGGGCGAGGTTTTGCAGCTTAGGGTGGGTCGTAGCGGCCACAGCCCGGGCTCGTCGGAGGCCGCCCCACGCCCCCGCACAGAGCTCCATATGCCACCAAACGTAACGGATTTCAGCGTCCAGATGCTGTTGGTGGTCTTCGGGGGCAGGATTGGCCCGCTCCAGTTTTCTTCGCTTCTAGGTCAATCTACTCGGACTCCACGGCCCCGTTCCTGGAACTCACAGACCCATCCGCCCTCGGCAAGGTATGCAGTATGCGCAGGGAGTGCCTCTTCTAGTCTGCGACGAAGGCAACGATTCGCACTGATGCTGGCCCCAGCGATGAGCAAAGGCTGCTGGAGGATATCTGGGCAAGGGAAACGGGGGCAGCGGTGACCATGCTTCGCTGGCGCCATTCTCGCATGGGCGACCACTCCATCGCTGCCTCAGCAGCGGCCAAGGAACGCCTCCGCGCAGCACAGCAGCCGTCTGCGGCCCGCCTTGAAACTCAAGGCGGTGGCCGCTGCATTGCGGACCTCACGACAACGGGCTCCTTCGGTCACGACTTGCAAAAGGCCGTGGGAACCATCATGGCGGTGGTGCTTCAGCACACGGATGTCAACATGAAGCACGCGGGCTCATCGATGCAGCTCCGCCTGGGACGTGGCGGCGCACGGCCGCTGATGGCCCGACCGCGGACCCCGGCAGGGCATGCCTCTACCTCCGCACGGCGGCTGAAACCAGCGCAAACCGGGCAGCCATTCAGGGCGGCGCCATACAAGTGGGGGATGACGTGGTGGTTTTCCAGGTCGCGACCGCTGCCAGCACGGCCAGGTCGTCCAATCGTCGGGTGGGGGGCCGCTGTGCTGCGGCGGGTTCCCCCCATTGGTGAAGCGGGACCTCTTGGAGCCGGTCGTCCACCTCCGCCAGCGCCCAGTTCGACAGCGGAGGCGAATTCATGCTTAATTGAGGCCGTCGCCTTGGACGGCGCATCCAGGTACTTCTTCGACCTCGTCATGTCTAATCGTCGCATTTCTCCACCGCGTGTTCTTTTTCGCGACGTTCCTGTTGGAACTCCAGGCACCGACGCTTTCGAGGCCGCTCCTATATCTCCGTCCTCTGCGTGCTTCGTATCCGCAAGCTGCCGTTCAGCAGTGGGGCAGCCTGCCGTCGCTCCCGCCGGCGGCCAGCCTCGCCGGCGCCCCCCCCCGCCTCGGGCGCCCGCCCTGGGCCTCCGTCGCCCGCCCCCGGCCGCATCCGGTGCGCCCGATAGGAGGTTCCCCGCCGTGGGCGACGAGCACGGGGCCATCCGGAATTCGAAGGCACTTTTCGCGCGGAAACGGCGCCGACATGAGCAGAACAAATCCTATGTCCGTCTTTTGTTGCGGAGCCGGGACTTCGTTGCCATCGCTGATTCCCGTGGCCTGGAAAGCGAGACGGGGGCTTGGAGTTGCCCTGCAGAGTGCGTCTCGTTGTTGTCTTCAGGCGCGTCCACAAGAGCAGGCGTTGGGCTGATCATCAAGAAAACCTTCTTGGGCCAGTTCGAGGCCGCCGAGCCGCGGTGGATCCATTGGGTCCCTGGGAGGACAGCGCTATTGTAACTGAGGGGTACGGCTGGGGCTCTCGACGCTCGCGTCGTATACTTTGCCACCGGCGCGCCTGGCATGGCGCAGCCCCGGGGCACGGACTGCGCTCTGGCAGCCAGCGTGAGGGAGCAGCGGGGCCACATGTGGCGCACCCGGTCATCGCATGAACGCATGTTAGATAATCACAAGGTTCGCTTTAGGAAGCGTTTTCAAAGCTCTTGACCCAGCCTCGACTTTTTGTATCTGCTGCCTGCGATTTGCAGTATCGGCTATAGGCCGCACTTGCACATGCCACAATGCGATGCAGCGCAGAGTGTCCCGCCCCAGAGTTGACGGCGCCGCTGAGTACATGAAGGCTGCCGTGTCAAGCGTGGATGAAGTCCGCGCCCGTTTCGAGCTCGAGCTTTAGGCCGCGACCCGCCGCCGTCTCCCGCGCTTGTGGGCGGGGTGCCGCCGCCACCTGGCCCTCGAACCGTCCGAGGGGGTAGCCTTTGGAGTCCTGAAACAGATCGGGCGTGGATGAACGCCTTGGGGTCTGGCAGGGATCCCAGCTTCCTCATGAGACGGTCGACATCTGGAGATGGGAGCGCAATTTCTATCAGTTTTATGGGTTTGACTGGCTTTTCCAGTTCCGCTCAGCTCATTAATGGAGAGATACACAGAAGATGTGGGTTGCCGCCAGTAGAATTGCCCCGCCTATTGTGGCCACGAACCATTGCCGTATGACGCCTAACGAACGACCGTCGTCGTCGCCGCGGCCGCCGTTGTCGTCGTCGTCGTCGCCATCAGCATCACCATTGTTGTCCCCATCGTTGTTATCGCCCTCAATTTCGCCATTGTAATTTTTGTCGTCGTCGTCGTCGTCGTCGTCGTCGTCGTCGTCGTCGTCTCCGTCGTCGTCGTCATGGTCGTCGTCATCGTCATCTTCATTGGCATCGTCATCGCCGTCGTCATCGCCATCGTCATCGCCATCTTCATTCCTGCAGTTTTTCCTCAGGCATCAGGGCCGGGCTTCCCTCCATTGTGCCGTGCTTTCTGCAGCACAAGGTGGCAATGGTTCCCCGGGCGCGATCGGCCACGGCGACGCGCGCACCGTCGCTCTCGACCCATCGGTTGGTATCATAACGGGAGGAGAGGGGGTTGAGAGGGCCGAGCGTGTTTTAACGTTTTCGTTTGCGCGTGTGTGTGTGTGTGTGTCTGTGTGTGTGTGCGTGCGTGCGTGCGTGCGTGCGTGCGTGCGTGTGTGAGAGAGAATGTGTGTGTGAGAGTGAATGAGTGAGTGAGTGAGTGAGTGATTGAATGTGTGTGTGTGTTCGCGTGTTTTTGCTTCCTGCGGCGCCCTCGCCGCCGGTTGGTTCGACCCGATTCGATCCGATACTTTCACGATCCGACGCGGCCCAAGGCTCGCTTGATGCCTTCTTCGAATCCTGGCGCAGCTGATCCGATTCAATTGTGATTAGGTCCAGTCCGACGCACGCCCCGACCCGATCCGATTTCCCGATGCGTCGCCGACAGCTTCTGCCCCGTCGGGTCACGCGGCTTCGGCCACCCTGGTTTTTCGCAGCTTGCCAACAATCACGCCTTCAGGGCATCAATTCGACTTCCGACTGTCGGTGTTTTGGCTGCGGCCACCCTGGTACTTTCGCAGTTGCTCGGAATGTGCCTTTGCCCTGATTGCTCGGTTCTGTCCCTGGTCGCGTTTCTTACCGACTTTGACGTTTCCGACGTTCTGCATGTTTGCACACTGGCAGTGCTTCTCAGTTTCAGCCAGCCCTTCCAAACGCCGGTCCTCCGCTGAGGTGCTGCGTGAGGCCCCGCTTGCTGCTCGGCCTTCGCTGCTTTAGGTTAATTTAGTCATTTGCGTGGCCCGCTTTTGACTGGACTCGCCGCCGGCGCGCAGCTTCTACCACTTGCATCCTCCCGTGTCCCAGCTAGCCGCCCGACGCCAGGCAAGGATTCTGCTCGGCGCGGTAGCGTTGTGCCTGGCCGCGCGGGTGTGGCTCGCGCCCGCCGCCTTCGCGTCCCCGCCCCAGGCGCGAGTTGCATCGGGGCCAGAGGAGGACGAGGAGGAACAGGAAGGAATGGGGGGCACGGGGGGTGGGGAGGGCGTCGGGGAGGGTGTGAAGGAGGAGGTGGAAGAGGAGGGGGAGGAGGGGGAGGTGGAGGAGGGGCGCCCGATTCGATGTAGGCCTGGGCGGTTTTGGTGTTTGTTTCGCCTGGACGGTCTCAGCGTTTTCCAACTTGGCGTCGAGGAAGAAAGAAGAGGAGGAAGAGGAGGAGGAAAAGGAGGAAGATGAGGAGAAAGAAGAGGAGGAGGAAGAGGGGAAGGAGAAGGGAGGGGGAGGGGGAGAAGGAGGAGGAATACAGATGACGAGGATGATGTTGTTGATGATGATGCTGATGATGATGATGATGATGAGGAGGAGGAGGAGGAGGAGGAGGAGGAGAGTGTCTGATCAATTCAGTTCGTCCTTTCGATTGCGCTCGTGGCGCCTCTTGTCAAGCCAGATGTAGAGACTCTGTTGTAAATAACAGGTATTTCAAGTCAGAGGGTCAGCAAGCACTGTAGAAGAAACATGCTTTTCAGTTTTTTTCAGGTTTTGGGGGATCTATGCGCGCCCAGGTGGATAGATGCGCGCCCAGGTGGATAGATGCGCAACAACCAGAAACACCTGACAAACCTGTTTTTTTACCGTGTTTGCGGACCCTCCGACCTGAAACACCTTTTCTATCAGTGTTTGCTAATCCTCCGACCGAATGACAGAGCCCCCCAGCGGATGTGGCACGAGCGGGATTCCTCATCTCTCGTCCTCCTCCGTCCTCCTCCTCCTCCTCCGCCTCCTGCTCCTCCTGCTCCTCTTCATCCTCCTCCTCCTCCTTCTCCTCCTGGGCCATTTTGGCTCAAACTGTTCTTGAGCTGGCCGCGCCCGCCTACAGACACCGCGTACTCGTGTATGGGCTGCAATTCTCCAGCTTCTGAAGACGAGCTATTCGGCGGAGGGCCGCCTCGTGAAAAGAGAGCCCGCCCTGAAGGGACGGACCACCAGCAGCTTCGCGACCTGATGGAAGAGATTTCGGAGAAGACGTCCACCAAGACGGCGGACAAGATGTTGGAGAAGGTCACGGCGGTCGCGAAGGAGGCTGGTGCTGCGGCGGCAAGGGAGGTTTGCCAACTCCTGGAGCGTCGACTGCGGGCTCTGGACTCCTCGGCCAGTGCTGCTCCTTCGTCTCTCATCGGAGCGGCGCCCTCGGACCGCACCAACCCATACTCTGGACAAGGAGATTGCCATGTACCAGGATCGATCGAGATCGAGAACTTCGTCACCAACTGGCAGGACGCCGACGCGAGCTCCGTCACAGGCACGGCCGCCTGCGGCCACCTCGACTCAATCCTCAACGGTGTGGAGGCGCACGTCCTCGAGCTGGTCGACGTGGAGAGGACCAAGAAGGCTCTCTCCAGGAAGGCCCTCCACACGAATACCCTTGTCTTCCTCAAGACTCGGAGCAAAGCCAGCTGCTGGACCCTGATGAAAGTTGTCCAGGCTCGGATCGCCACACTCGACTTGACCGTCGGCTCTCGCGCTCCCATCGTGCACCTCGAGTCGGACTCGAGTTTCGCCATCTACCGCCAGCAGGCTGCCAAGTTCTACGCCGCGCTGGAGACCATGGGCCTTCAGAAGTCGGACATCAAGTTAGAGTACCCGCCGCGGGGGATCCAGACAATAATCGTGCGCCGCATCGCGGGCATCACGCACCCCACCAAGCTCGCAGAGTTCACGGCCGCTGCTGGCTGGGGGCTTCAACTTGGTGCGTGGGCCGAGTGGGGCTGCAACCTGGAGGAACCGGCCATCATGAACCACATCGCCAGCGCCTGACGGGTGCGGGGCAAGGCCAGGTTTCTGAGGGCTCGGGCCGCATCGGGGATCAGCATTGTCTCTTGGAAATAAAGCCCCGATGTGTACGATCCCTGAGATTCTTCATCATATATTTTTCTTTCTTCGGTTCCGATGTTCTCGTGACTCTTCAGGAAGTTAGCTATTGGAGTGATACCTTGGGAGAGGATGTGCACGTCGGTGGCTGGGAATACTACCATCCAGTGGGCTGTCACGTTGCCATGCTCTGGCCTGCCAGACTCGCAGTTTTATAAAATGGGGCCGGCGTTTGTGACAAGAGAGAGAGAGTGGCAGGGATGATCTTCGCTGGCCTCTGTGTTCTCACTTGTTACATGCACGACACGTGTGATTACGACGTACACGAGTACAAAAACGCTGTTTCAGATCTTATCGATGTTCACCGCTCACTTGTTGCTGCTGCTCCCGCTCCCTGCTCTAACGTCATCGTCGGCGATTTCAACATTACCCTACCAGAGATAGAAGGATGTGCAGGAGACCTTGGGCTCGGTTATGACTGGGGGGCTGGGGGCGTCTTGGAACGAAAGGTCGCTCTCGCCGAAACCATGCGCAAACTCCGTGGCCGCGCTGGCTCCGCCTACTTGGAGGAGGGGCGGCTCCCTTTCACTCGCGTTTCGCACAGCAGTGGGTTACAGAAGACCCTCGACTACGCCTTTTGCAGTACTAATTTGGAAGCGAAAGTCCTCTTACACAGCCGTGTTCAGTTATTCCTTGGTGGTGGCCTTCGCGACCCCAACCGATCGGCCTGGAGATTCGCGGCGCCTACCTGCGCAAGGAGTTCGCGGCCAGCTCTTTCGTGACTGGCTGGAGGCCTGAAGGCCCAGAGGCGGTTGGCCTATCCAGGGCTCGCGTCGAGCGCCAGTCCACGCCCAGGCTGTCAACATTGGATACTCCACCGTTTACTCTCGACGCGCTTATCGCCACCAACGACCTCCTGGAGTACAACGCCTGGAGTCTGCCATGGTCGAGGCACGAGGCGCGGACGGCTTCCGCGACGCTCGGCAGAAGCTGAGACGTGCTCAGAGGTTGTGGAAACGCTCGATACTTCGTGAAGCACTTCCCTCTGCTCGTGCTCGATCTCAGAAGCAACGTTACATGCCGACTGCTCTGATCGACCGCAATGGGCAGCCTCGAGAAGATAGGGAAGATTGGCAACGCATCATCTGGGTTTTTTGTCACAGCACATGCACAAATGAGCTCATGACCAGAGATAGGCGACATTAACAGATTATGGACCGCATGAAGCGGGGCGAGCGTGAGGCTGCTTCCGGCACTGATCCTCCGCAGCTCTTCATTTCTCATGTGCATCGCGCTCGCGGTCGACTCAAGGCTGGCAGCGCCCCTGGCAACGACCAACTGGTCACCGAGATGCTGGTAGGGCTCAGCGCTGGCGCCACGGGGGTGATCTACCAGCTGTTCCTGCAGCGCTACCTGGGCCTTGACACGGGCCCCATCGCCTCCTGGGCCACCATCATCATGGCGTTCCTTGCCAAGGAGAAGGGCGCCCAGCACTTGTTCCAGTTCCGCGGCCTCTCCCTGACCAGCGTGCTCCAGAAGTGGTGCGCCAACGCCCTGGTATCTTTGGTGGAGGAAGGCGCAGACAATGCAATGTTCGATCACCTCGGCAACTTCGGCTTCCAAACAGGCCGCAACTTCTCGCAGCTGACGGGCCCGCTCAGGAATCTCCTTGCGAAGAGCTGGGAATGGCCCGAACTGTTTCCCATGTGTATCTTCTCGGGAGACGTGCCCCAGCCCTTCGACTACCTATCGCCATCCACCTGCTCTGCTGCGCTGGCCCATCATCACGTGCATGGGCGGCTTGCTGCAGCTATCCTTCGTGAGGGCATTGATCTTCAACTCCAACCCGTATTTCCTGGGGCCCCAGATCTACCTCCGATGCCCATCTCCCGCTGCGAGAAGACAGGGGCCACCGACGCCGCCACGAAGTGGACCATGCTATCCGAGATGATATTCGGTGAGCTTCGGGATCGTCGGTCATTTCATGGCTATGAAATTCTCCTGCAAGACCGTCGTTACTTCAATGTGCAGTGGGCCGGCAACTGGCTACTTCTGGCATCTCAACTATCCGGCCTGCACATCATGATCCAAGAGCTCACGGACGTCATTCTCAAATACCAGCTGTTCTGGAAAATCAAGAGCCTTGGGTTCCCGCTGAATGGACCTTTGGACGCATGCCCTGGCTACACTGTGCAAATTCGCGCCTACTGGCCTGAGGGCAGTTTCCTGGCAGCCCCTCCCGTTGACGTCTCAGACGTTCAGCTGGTGCCGAACTCCTTGGGCGTGCTCTCTGGCAACTTCATTATCCCTAGACGGCGGAAAATTGTTGCTCCTCGGCACGGTTATTATTGAGACTGGCGGTTCTAGTGCTGCAGTCGGCCGCCGCATCGGCCAGGCAGCCAAGATGTTCTTTGGAGACCCGCTTTTTCGCAATAGCTTGTATCGCGAGACGAAAGGATGACTCGCTATGCTGAAGCGGTTCCGCCATGCCTCTTGTACGGAGCTGAAGGCTTGGCGTGGAACCCGACCTCGATGGGCAAAAGTGAGGCAGCTTGGGGGTTGCGTGCCCCGACGCCTGGTCAGAGCCAAGAGAAGCCTGACGAGCCCGCTGAGAAGTACTTCGAGCGTGCCACCAGAGTTGCTCGACTGCTTTATCGCGATGCAGTCCACGAGGCCATTGAACTTCGTCTTCTTCACATCATATTCAACAGCGCCCCTGCCAAGCAGCTCGGCGTCACCGGGCATGACAAGTTTGTCTCGGATGCCATGAACTCGTACTCAGAGTCATCCTGGCGGGCCCGCTCCAAGATCAACGCCGCCCTCGAAGCGCGCTCGCCTGGGCCCAAGAGGGCACGGCGGGGGGGTGGCCGCCAGAAACAGCGACAGGGCTGGAGTCGTCGCACCACGTGGGAGGTCCTTTTCTGCGACTGCTTCGGCAACGACTGGAGGGGCCTGGTCTTCACCAAGTGGACCGGGCTGGAGAACAGGTCCATTGTGTGGTGCCTGGACCACCGCGTCGGCATCCAGGGCAAGGCTGCCCTGCGCCTGAGCGAGTTGGCCCAGCAGAGGATAGGACGGGCAAAATTCGATAGGAAACGTCAACG